AAAAAAAAAAGAAAAAAAGTTAAGGACTGATAACTCTGACAGCAAACTGTCAGCAGATGTCAAAATCAACTCTCGGCTGAAAACTCGATCGGAACTCTCCTGAGTGCGACAACAGTTTAAATAAACCAGCTACGGGGTGATGCAGGGCGGCCCGTCTTGATTAGGTGTTGCCCTGACAACAGATAGGGCGGGGAGCGCAGGAATAAGTAAAGACGAAGACGGTGTAATTGACATTATTGCGTCATCAGATATGGCTTATCGACAGTAGCTTCTTGGGAAACTGTTGCTTTTTGCTGTTTTTTCTTCTTATCTAAATCCTATGACATACGGCGCAACTTAGCTTTCGGAATTTTTACCCTTTTCGTGACAGGCAAGCAATTGGCTCCAGCCGTTTATTTGAAATGTAGTGTAAGTCTTAGTGCGGAAGGGTAAAAAGCTTTCAGATGTAAGCTGGTTCCGTTCTTAAAATGTTCACATCTCCTAATGCTCTTCTGGTGGCACTGTTAACAAAATTAAGGTCTTCATGTTAAACAACAGAGCGTGGCCAAGCAGGTCTGAGCCCCAAAATTGGCGTTCTTCACCTTATGATGTTTGATGAGTTTCCATGGCTGTCTGATGACTTGGATTTTTGCTGTCGACAACGGATAGTATACCGTAAGCCCCCGAGTCGAAAATATTCTTATTACAGTTTTGAAAGTGGTGATAAACCTATGCCATACCATAACATACCGTACTGGAACCTACCATACTGTACTGTTATTATTATGCCCTCGTCTTAGTTTAACCTCCGAAATCTACAGGAAATGACCTTAATTTAAGGAAGAGAACTGACAAGAGAAATCAGTCCCCCATCGATTTCAATCAATATGGCGGCACGTAGCCATCTCGAACAGTTCATTGCATCAAGTACTTCGGTTCCCGTCCCAGAGACTACGGGAGCGGCGGTGAGTGAGTCCACGTTCGAGACAGCACGGGTACCCAGGGAGACTCAGACTCTATTGTGACGTACGTCCGGTTTACTCACCCTTTTGGCGTTAATCATTTGCTCATGTTGTCTGTCTAGGTTGAGTAGGGGAGGAGAGAAGAAGGATAGGGGGGGGAGGAGGAGAGGGGAGGGGAAGAGTAGGGAGATGAGGGGAAGAGAAAAGAGAGCGAAAGAGGAGTGAGGGGAAGAGAAAAGAGAGGGAAAGAGGAGGGAGGGGAGGAGGAGGGGAGGGTAGGAGGAGGGAATAGAGAAGAGGGAAAATGGGGGGGGGGAGTAATAAGAACACCAAGGGTGAGTACGACGAACACTCACTATCTACCAACCTGCGTTCCATCATGTGAGGGATTTTAATTTTACGCGCCATGTTCATTATTTTGTTACAAAGGCAATGGTGATGGTTTTGTTGTTTTGCTGCTGTAGTTAGTCTTTGAGGGGTGAGGGGATCTGCTAGTGTAGTGGTGATTATGATGACTGCAGGGGCAGGAGAGAGAATGGTTGCTGGTATTGTCTAATCCTAAGTTCTTTTGTTTTTTTAGATCGTTGCTGTTGTAGCAGTTGTGGCTGTGGTTTGTTCTCATTGTTATACATGCTGTTGTGCTATTGTTTTGGCAATGATCGTCATCCTCATAACGATGATTCTACTCAGTGCAATAACCCCCCCCCCTGCCACTGCATCAAGAAAACGAAACAGCTAGCCCAACAGTCAGTGATTCATTTTACACAAATCTGACGTATTTCCTCACTAACAAATTGCCGCGAAAGAGGCGGGAGTAACATAGATAACATTTTCTCCGAAAGACACAGGCACCCAACGGAGAGAAGCAGAACTCCGCCTAAAACAATAGAATGATCTCCCTTACCTCCGCCTTTTGGATAACCAGTCAGAAGAGTAACTTCTCTTCCCACAAAAGTCACATGATGACTGCCTCGGGGCAAAGACAACCTTGTTTATTCTCCAGAATATG